ACCCACCAGTGTATCTTTGTCTCCCACAGAACTCATCTGTAAGCAGTCACTTTCAGGACATATACACTGAAACTGCTGTCATTATAGACATTGTCACAGAGTTAGAGAGCTAAGAAGTTGATTTTGATAAGTAAGTAATATTGTACTGTGGTGCGTATTTATACACATATTTATTGTGTTTCTGTTTACAAGAAACCCTTAACTGTTATATGTAATCCTCTTGTTTATGTGAGTGAATGCAACATAAGCCAGAAAGTACTGTAATTTTTCTGAGATAGAGATACAGTATAAACAGGCCTGAATAGAAAATGCTCGCTCCAAATTAAAGTTAAGGCAGATCCCCTGACTTTAGGGGTCTACTTCACAAGTCATCCCCAACTTCTAGAAGACCAAAACCTGGGAAACAGCTTTGGCCTGAAGTTGAGGTTGAAATATCTGAAAGCTGCCAGGGATGAGAAATACTGGCCTACACTACGTGGTCCTGGATTTCAGCCACTCAAAGTTATGTATATGAGATGGGTGGCTGCATAAATGTAACAATCTTTCCCCTAGAAGAGTAAATTGAGAAGAATGTTATTATTTTCAAGAGAGAACACTACTTAGAGCTGTGTCAAAAGGCAATTGTTCGCATTATGATCAGACTTTGTTTTTATCTCCATAATAGCTGGTCTTATTAATGGAAACTGCTGAAACCTATGTGCTTAAATATCAAATAAAGATATTTATTTTTCCAATATCTCTTCAAAAATAATTTCCTCCTTAAGCAAGTGTGTGATTCAAACTTCTCCAGGTGCATCTGCATTATTCAGTATCAATGCTGCTCATTCATTATTTATATTTAAGAAGCCAGAAACCATTACTTATCTTGAGTAGATAATTGTTAAATGTTTCTTTTCTTTTAAAAATATCCTTGTTAATTGTACCAAAATCCTTTCAAGGAGGAACTTTATTTCAGGCAGAGAAATATGTAGAGGGGAACAATTAGCAAGACCAATAGCAAATGATTTATATTTGGAAGAAATAACTATACTCAGACCCCGAAGAGAAGACAAGCAGGAAATACATATCTACATATAACTTGTACAAATAAATAAAGAAGGAAAGCACGTAGAGGTGGGGAGATGGTAGAGTTTAACCAGGTTTGGGTAGCACACCATCCTGTTGCAGTCACTCTAGGAGAACTCTACATCAGCTGTTCTCATTCCTATGGGGCATTTACTCTAATTCCCCTTCTTGGAATAGCCATACAGCAGAAGGTGTAGCCCTAAAGCTCTCACTTGCTTTCCATTCTGGAAGTGGGAGAGTATGAGGTGGTAATGGATGGGATTGCACCTCTTTCTTTCGCTCCAAACAACTTGGAAGGAAATGATGAGAAAGGGAGCATCAGTCCTCTTCCTTTCCCCAAGTCACCTAATCTCAGAGAGTCCTGCTCCCCCCAGTTCTGGTCACCCAAATAGGAACCCTGCTGCTATTCTGCAGAAATCATTCCAATTTTGGATTTCATGAGCTGGATCTATAGCAAAAACCACCTCAAAATGGTACACAGGGATGAAATGGAAAGCCAAAGTTACACTATATTGCGGTAAGTTTCCCACTTAGCACTAGAGATACCAACCTTATGGCCTTTTGATGAGGTCAATATTTTCTAACCTAAACAACATACTTCCAAAGAAAAGACCAGCTGTGTCAGAGCGGAACTTCATTTCTTTGGTCATGATGGTCCAGAGTCCTTCAGTCAGAGGGAAGGGGCAGCACTATAGTCAGAGGGGCAAGTGGAACTCAGTAGATCAGCCACTTCCGGAGATTCTTCTTCGGTGCCTGCTTAGAAAGTTCAGATGGGAGGTGTCCTGTATTCCAGAAGGGGAAAAAAGCAGCTTTCCAAATTGCACATCTTGATTAGGTTCAGCTGCCCTAGAAGACTGTAAATGTGGTGAGAGCTCTGTTGTAAAGATATATGCCTACCGTAACATTAATGAGAATCTGTGGGCTGGGCAAGGAGCCCACAAATACTGACCTTCAAGGGACTTCCAGTTTGCTATCGGTGCCTTCAGACACATGGAGAAGAACTCCGTCTTCAGCATCCGATTTTATCCCACTGGGGGCCCCTGGAAAGGGTCGAAAGTCACCCTGTAGGGGTGACAAGTGAGGACCAGATCCCCGCTTGATCGCAAGAGAGCGGCAGCCCTTTCGCTTGATCGAGGGCAGCTCTCCAAACCGGCGGGGGAAAGACTGGCCATAGCAATATGGCTCGTCATTAAGCTGCTGACAGCCGAAGTCAAAATTACTACCAAGCACCTTTAAAGCAACACTGATGAAACTGGGTGAGATCTGATCTTCTCTTTAAGACTCTAAATATCTTTCCTGCAAAAGCTGCCCTAAGCATTCTTTCCCCTGGGAGGAGAGAGGGAAAGGAATTCCTGCCCCACCCTCTAAGAACAGCGGCGACTGACTACCCAGGGGAAACAAAGCAATTATAAAAACAACTTTAATCTAATTAGATGCATATACTTTTGAAATTCAGGGACTAAAAAGTTTTTCTGGAAGTTTTCTTATTCCTATTTCTATTGGATATACTGATTTTTATTTAAAAAGAAAAGAAATAAACTTTGAAAAACTATTATAAAAACAGGGGTCTCATACCTAGTTATAAAATTATTTTTAACATCGGATTTTAAATTCCTCAATTTAACACATTATTAAGAGAATATGGATGAAGACCAGGAAAAGATCCTTTCCATGTTGAAAGCAATACATGAAACCATTCTTTCAGCTTGTGATAAAATAAGACCTAACCTAAAAGAACAAGATGCCAGCTTAGATACACAAACCCAAACTTTGACTACAACCAAAGAACTAACAACACAGAAGATAACAGAAGAAGTGGAACAATCAAATATTAAGACAGAGGACTCAATTAACTAACAAATACAGTTAATGGAAAATCCAGAAAAGGGAGTGACAACACTGAAAATGGAAAAGATTTTCTATATAAATTAGAAGAAATTTGAGAAAGAACAGATTGAATGGAAGATAAACATATCATCAGGAATTGGAATAACAGGACATCATCAGGAATTGGAATAATAGGGAGACAATTTAATGAATACAAATGGGTTAGCCCTTCCAAAAAAATGGTAACTAAATGGTCTCTCTTATTTCAAATAACATATATAATAATAGAGGAAGATCTATTTGATGATCTAAAAGCATTGACATGGAAGGCTAGTTGGCAAAGGAAGAAGGCCAGAATAAGGCTGAAGAAAATTGGGGTTTTGATTTATTAGAGGGGATTTCATATTGCTAATTAGAGGGTTAAAGGGAGAAGCTGAGATAAGAGGAATTTTGGTCATTAGATCTAAAACATTTGGAAACTAGTTGAAAATAAGGATTTTATTTGTTTAATATTTAAAAATTAGACTCAAAAGGAAAAAAATTAATTATTATGAATATGTTGGATTTATTGATTAACCCAGACAATATATATATAATGAGTTTGATTTATTAAAGGGGATACTGTATTATTAAGTAGATGATTTAATATGGTGGGAAATAGATAACTTTTAGGAAATAGAACAAGACTATATTTAAATAGATAAAATATGTATTTTGAATATTAGATTCTGTTATGAATTGAGATAAGGAAAACTTTGGTTACCTAAATCTTGAAAATTATAAATATCAAATGTTAAATTGGAATATTGATGGGAAACTAAAAATTGGGAAAAATCAATAACAAGACATTGATTGTTTATAAAAATTGAATGTAAAAATAATTAAGATATGTATAAGCTAAATATTTGTTGATAAATGTAATAATGATGTTTTTACTTAGTTGATATAAGAACTGTATTAACTTAAATATGAGATAGTAGATATTAAGGGAAAAAGAGAGGAAATATTTGATGTTGTAACTTGAGATTTACTGTATACTAAAGATTTTTATATGCTATTGAATATTGATTAACCCAGCCACCACGTTGGTTTTTAAATGTAAAATTGGAAAATTAATAAAATATTATTAAAGAAATATAGACCTTCAAGGGACGTGATTGCTATAGAATAGAATGGGCAAGGCAAAAAAATTGGGAGGAGGTTTGCACAAAATAAATGCATTTAAACATTTTATCATCATGCTACCCCATTATTTGCTTAATCATCATTAATTTAACAGAGATAATTGGACTCTCACAAACAAATTACCCACTAATAGTAAATCTTAAAGTAATGTATGAACCTAATCACACACTGCAGCAACATACCCCACCCAGCCATCAATAATTCTGGAGAAATCCTGGTGAAACTGACTAGATGTTATTTGTCACTAGTTAATGTAGACTAACTGTAGAGCAGATGTCCCCAACCTTTTGGGCACCAGGGACCGGTTTCGTGGAGAAAGGTTTTTCCGTGGACCAGAGAGTGCATGGTTTCGTGTGCTGCCTGAATCCCTCAGATGGGGCTTTGCTTGTTTGTGCAGACCAGTTGCTGGCATGCCACAGACCGGTACTGGTTCACAGATCGGGGGTTGGGGACCCCTGCTGTAGAGCACAGTCAATTCTGCCTCCAATAATCATGTACACAGACAAAAATGCTCATACATGGAAATGTCAATTTTGCTTGACTTGGCTCTTCAAAAGATTAAGTTTATTCAGGGTTGTCCACAGTATGCCATCAAAAATATCAGGATAGTGGCTATAGCAGTACAATCAAAACTACACTTATATTTTATGTGTGTCATGATATTTCCCAACATATTTCATGGCAGGCAATGTTGTTGCAATATTATCTCAATCTGTATTATTATAATGTGATCACAAACCCCTTCATACCCTTTACATCAGGCATGTCCAATCCATGGACTGCATGTGGTTCTGGACAGCTAGTCATACAGCCGTACAAGTTCGTAAATTTTTAATATTATAATGTGATTTATATACATTGTATTTTATATGCAGCCCAAGATAGTTCCTCCTCACTCAGTGCACCCCAGGCAAGCCGAAAGTTTGGACACCCATGCTTTACGTGCTCCATTGAAGTGAATGTGCCCTAACATTGGTAGGTAAAATACAAAGGAGATGCTGGACTTAAGCATGCATGGTGTCTGCTGTCTTAAGACCCAACCTGTTAAGCGCAGGGGAAATCAGGAGATTCAGGCTGTTCAAATGAGTATAAAGATTTATTGCAAGCTTAAGCTCTCTGAAAAAATCTAAGCTACTAGTGGTCAAAGGAAATGAGTGGGAATTAAGAAGGTATTCAAGGTGGGCTGGACTTAGATCTCTTGTGGGCGCAAAAGGATTCATGACTGGTGATGCGTTTGACCCTTCAATCCTGCTCAGTCCTGGCCAGCATTGCAGATGCCTTCTTTAACAGATTACCTTGGAAGATATATTTTCCCTTCTATGGAAGGGTTAGACGGGTGTGATTCTTCTTAATAACAGAATAACAGAGTAGGAAGGAAGGACTTCTAGTCCAACTCGCTGGTTGAGCAAGAAACCTTATATCATTCTGGACAAATGGTTGTCTAATCTCTTCTTAAAAACCTCCAGTGATGGAGCACCCACAATTTCTGGAAATAAGCTGTTCCACTGATTAATTGTTCTCTAACCCTTCTCTAACTTAAAGCCACAGAAGTGTAGTGGGATGCATTTCTTTGTATATGGAAAGAAAACATGACTCTTTGTTTTGGTTTCAAGAAAATAATAATTAAAAAAATAACCCACAACTTTAGAGAGGAAAGGAAAGGAAACCAGAATCTGCACTGTAAATAATCTTATCCCTTCTTCCATTTAGTAGGGTGTTTTAACCAACAGGTGGCAGACCCAAGCTAGCATCCTTAAACATATTTTGGAATATTTCTATAAATGAAGGAAGCTCTCAATCTCCTAGCAAGGCCAAAGTAGCTACATGCATCTTGCATTAATTTATCTGAATTTTGCAACCCAACTCTATTCTGCAAATAATATGTACACAATTGTATATCAAAATAAATTTCACAATGTTTATGATAGGATGAATGAGATTTAAAGTATCTAGGTTATCCCTCTGTTTAAAAGATAGCACATTTTTTCCCCTTTTTCTTTGTAACCTTTGAGGTTCGTTTCTGACTTAGGGAAAAAGTTGTTAGAGGAATGTTCTGAAGAACTTCATGAAATGTAAACATGCTAAAGGATATTTGCTCATATGGGGATTGCATCCCGTTCTCATACAGACAGGCAAATGCTGCGATCCCAGTTGCTGAGAACTCTGAGTAAGGCAACTCAATGTAGGCCAAGTCTGAGTAAGCACTGGGCCCTTCATAAATAATCCAGGGTTTAGACCAGCTGTCAACATCTCTAGGAAATGTGCTGAGGTATATTCCCAAGTTGTCTCGGGATCTGGAGCTTGTTGGGTGGGAATACAGAACCCATGTTGGGATTTCAAAATACGTATCTGATTTGGAAATCATTTCAGCATTGTGATCTGGATCAGTACATGTCATATTCCAAGACATGGGACTAAGAGCACTATTGAGGTGGCCACTAGAAGTTTCAGTTGATATAAACCTTTCCAGCTGCTGCTGGCATAAATAGTGGTTGCAGAGAGAACTACTAAGCTGTGCTGGACAAAAATGGGACCTCTCACACATTCTAGGCTGCAATAAGAGGCCTGGCCCTTTAACAGGACATGCTTTTCTCTGGGACACTTGGATGCCATGATGCATGCAGTAAAGTGGAGCTGGGACTCCAATGATACTTCCGTGGCAACCATGAGGAGGCTCTACAAGTCGTGGTACCAGCTGCCCTGAATGGAATATTGCCCCGTCATCTGTGCTGAGTGCCTGAACCCGGAAGCCCAGAGGACTCCTAGCATTGCAGAAGAGCACATGGCTTCCATCCTCCTCATCCACTGACACCATCTGGCACTCAACAGTCTTCAGATTGGGGACAAACTCACCAAAGAACCAGCTCTGCCCATGATCATCACTGTAGAAGGCAAATGCATGTGGGGTTGTTTTGCAGAATTTCCCAAAGCATGTTTTGCAGTCAATATAATAAGTATAAGCAGGCAAGAGCAGACGGCCTGACTTGAGCTGAATGCCATGACCAGGACCAAGGGCAAAAGTAGCCCAATCTGGAAGGAAGTAAGGAAAAACATAAAAATCAAGAGACTTGTGACATTTTAATGATAGACAAATAATGGCAAAGAATTCATGAGCAGAATTGAACAGTCATGTTTTATCTGATAAATCATGCCTTTCAGAGGCTAAGAACTACATTTAAGTTTTTCTTTTCTTTTGCAGAGTGGGGATCCGAAGGTTATAATGGGCAGATTAATGTCAAACTGTATGGGCAATTTTACAAAATGTGTGGACTGCCTTGTGCGTGCAGATAAAAGTTAAGGTTTAAACGTATTAATTTCTGTAAAGTAAATGTTTTACTTCTCAAATTTTGCTAAAGCTATTTCAGCACTCACAAGATAATTTATATTCATGTGCGTGTTGTTTCCTGCTTCAAATTGGCAAATTCAGTATCACTGAATTTGTAATATAGTGAGAAAGGGTTCTAGTGAATTACAGAAAAACTATTTGGGAGCACTATGTGGCCCTAAAACTAAAGATTGCACACTTCAGATATGCATTCCATGTTAATTTTAACTGGCAGATGTGTCATTTATAAAGAAACAAAAAGGAAGAGTTGTGAACACAAAAGTCAGGCAGCAGTGATATACAATAAGATGAAGGAAACCTCCAGAGATCTGCTTTGAAATTCTTTCTGGCTCCTTAATAACAATCCATTCTGGGTCATGTTCTTCAGAATAAGGAGTGGGGATAATAATGGAGAAGATGGAACACAGCTGCCCGACCCATATGGATTTATTGGGATAATTCTTTCTGGAATTTTTGTCTTTGTGGCCCCTGGCCTTTCTTTTAATGACTTCCATATTACCAAATATGGTCCTACTCTGTTCTGTTTTCAGAGAATTAACTTGCTATTTGACAGAGATGGACAGATTCCCAACCTCCCTTACCAATTTCTTCCCAACATTCTTTTGGCTTTGAAAGAATAAAAAAGGACAGTTTGTGACAATTATCCAGTATATAAAATGAGCAGAACAATGACACCCTTATCCTAACTGTGGCCTGGTTAATCCATTCTGTTCAATGAGACAGAAATTCTTTCCTTGATGCAAGCCTAAATGAAGGTAACTAAAATCTTGATAAAGTCTAGCAATAAATATATGAATGCAACAAGATTCTTTGATGTTTTTGTTTTTTGATAGCATACCCCTATCTCATCGTTGGTCTCTTTTTTAGGTACTATCAAATATCTGTACCTTGGATGGACATGCCAATGACTTCCTCAGTGAGATCAGTCACATGACTCCAGCTGATGCCCTGGTCGGAACTAGACACATAGCAGAGGCGAGCAGCATTTTGACCTGTGACAATTTGAAAGACTTCAGAAGTCCTGCCCAACACAGCAATGAAAAATAGGAAAACCATGCCAGTGACTTCATCATAGATGGGACAAGCGTTCATAGATCGATGGTGCATAAGTTTTGCTGTTTCAATGGTTTGCATATCTTCCCACTGGCAAAAAAAAAAAAGACATTCAAAGAACTCAGGAACCCCAGATTTATCTTTCTTATTTAACTAGAACTTTTATGTTGCTTATTTTGAGATGGGACCCCATTAACCTGTAATTTTGTTAACTTCTATTTAACATTCACAGTTGGTGAGTTAAAGTAAGGTAAGGAGACTCAAGATAACCTAAATGAAATTTATTTTAGGTAAGATTTCAAAATGTATATTAAAACACATCCTATAAATGTCTTTTTTATCTAAGAATAACTGTGAATATTAATAAATAGGTTATTAGCTATTATTTGCAGAATTATTTGTGATAAACAGTAATATTGCTGTCATAAATATCATGTAATTGGCTATGACCAGGAAAATATTTTTATCCTTCTGGGTCAAGGGTTTTTTGTCTCCTCTGAGTCTTTTCAGAAGAACATATTCTGTATATGCTTCTTACTAGACAGAAATATGGTCCTTGAAGAACAGCAGTTCTATTCCCCTTTGCTTATAAACCTAAAAGCTCCATCTTCCAAATATTAGGCCAGATGAATACTCCTCTAAGAATGCTGAAGGATGAAGCATCAGTGAATAATAGCTCAACAGTTGGTGGGATGTACTGGAATAGTCTTCTTTGTCATCCTGGCATCAATGAAAAAAAGTGGCTGACAGGGTGTTTAAGTTAACACACGTGGAGGAGAATGAGATAGTAAACTCTTTTAAGATTGAACAAAACAAAACATTCATTCAGTAACTCTGACAACAAGTAAGGGCTGTAGATCAGTTTCCAATGGGGAGAAGGAGCCTGAAATCATAATAGTTTGTTTTAAATGCATGATTTCATCAGTACGGGTGGTCCTCGACTTACAACAATTCACTTAGTGACTGTTCAAAGTTACAACAGCACTGAAAAAAATTGACTTATGACTGTTTTTCACATGACCATTGCAGTATCCCCATGGTCACACAATCAACATTCACACGTTTAGCAACTGATTCATATTTATGATTGTTGCTGCACCTTGGGGTCCTATGATCCCCTTTTGCTACCTTCTCACAAGCAAAGTCAATAGGGAAACCAGATACAGAAACATCTGTATTATTAACAACTGCTGTAATTCACTTAACAACTGTGGCAAGAAAGGTCAAAAAATGGGGCAAATTCACTTAACAAATATTTCACTTAGCAACAGAAATTTTGGGCTCAATTAAAGTCATAAGTCAATGGCTACTTGGACAGCTTTTGCCTAAATGCATGCTTTTTTCTCAATACAATTTTGCAGCAGTTCAATCTTTTGGGAAGGGTGAGATTTTGGTATTCTTTTGATTATTTTTTGAGGAGGCACCCATTGTGCATGGCACAAGGTTGTTGCAGTGGTACTTGGAGCCTGAAAAGATTACCAAGTGCAGGATATGAAAGCAGGTAATAGCTGGCAATTCCATATGTGGATTGACTCTATAATCAAGCAATAAAGACTAAATTAAAACAAATGCTAACTATTATAGTCTTTCCCAGCTGGTATTCCCCAAAAGGTTTGGACCATGTCCTAGATTCCCCCCTTGTCATCCCAACACAGCAACAGATTAGTGAAGTGCTAGGAAGAAGTAGCAGTACGGAGAGAGATATTCATAGAGACACTCTTCTGCTTTTGTCACTAACATCTAGCCTTGCTATCCAACTTTTGGGAAAGCTGTTTTTGCTTTGTCTTACCTGCACAAAGTTCATGTAGAAAACACCCCTTCTTAGCACCAGTAAATTGGCATCAGCGTCATCCACACTAAGCCGCTGTTCTGCAAAAGCCAAGAGCTTGGCTACAGATGGGATATAGAGTAACGCTGGCACTCGGTACGTCAGTCCACTTGTTTCCTTTTCAAATAAGACTGTTCGGCCAGGGAAATGGTGAGTGCCCATTGCAGCTGCAATTCATAAAGGATATCCAAAGCACTGAGCAGAAAAATTGGATGCCAGGTGTATCTATATTGCAGACTTCAACTATCTTAATAATCATCCTATCTGTGAATTCATTTTGACTGTAACGAGAGAGACTCTGATCAAACATGCAGGAGAAAGGACATCCTTTGATTCACACATACATGATCAATGAATGCTGCTGGAGGATTGAACAGGATGGATTAATTAATTTAGGGGATTTCTGAAATGTTCTTAATAATAGTCACTGGCAAAGCATGCCCTGCACATATTTTATTTAAGCAAATACCTGGAGATATTTCTGGAAAGGAAATGAGCTGTTTTAGTAAGAAATATTAATGTATGTCTCTCCACTTGTAAATTAAGGATAGTATGATTACTACAGAACTAGACTTGGAGAGGGAGAAAGAAAAAGAGGCAGAAACATTTTATTGGAAGCTCTGGAAAATCCCTCTGGTAGAAATGGTTCTGTCAATCTGCATGGATCATGAATGTTGATCTTAAAGTATTTAAATTCTCTGTTCACCTCATTCAATCTATATTTTGGTAAATAAATTCAAGGATTACAATAATTCATGCATCTTCCGTGACCTTCCCAACAAAATGAAATTTGGAGGGGTTTTAGATTGTGCACTATTTTATAGGAAACAGAACAAGAATATGAGCCCCAGATATAGGCAATCTGAAGCCCTTCAGATGCTTTGGACTAGAGCTTCCATAATCTGTTGATATGGGTCAGGTTAGCCAGAAGTGATGAGAAATTAATTCCAGAATACCTGAGGGCACCAGATGCACTGTGACTTCGTGCAGCAATCTCTCCCCATCCCAGCCCCCAAAGGAAAGGAATATTGTATAGGAAAATGAAACAAAGGAAGCAAATTATAAGTACAAAGTACAAAGTAAAAAGGGAAGAGACATAGGGAAACTGACAGATCAAAGAGAGCATAAAACTACAAACCTTGTTCTTTTTCTGGCTGTTACCACTAAATCCACTAGTTGTTCTTTAGATGGATCGGTAGTAATTTGAATTACACGTGTACCCATGTACATATGCTGCTTTCTAACCAATACAGTCTCAGCAGTTTCCTATCTTTAGTGGCACCTTGTTTGTTGTGTTTTAACTCTCAACACACACCCCGCCCCTCCTTTTCCTCTCCCTTTGAGTCAATGACTTTACTAGATGATACAGAGAAAGAACCGAGGCAGTATTTACTAGCTTGATCAGCAATAGTAGACAAAGACTTCATTGTCAACAGGTCAGTGAGGACAGAACCAGCATTTTCCATGGGCAGGTATTAATGGCTATAATTTCCCTATTTATTTACTTATTTACTAATTGAGACACTGGTTTCCAGACCATATTTACATATATGAAACATAATAGAAAACACCATAATTGGAAGTGAATTTTGGGTGATCTGGTCATGAACAAAGATTTTCCTCTCTAACTTTCAAGTAACAAGAGATTGTGATACTCCCAGTATCTGTATGTTTGATCTGTGATCTAACTCTGTTTATTCATTTTTACCTAATTATAATACAAATATACCTGCCATCAACTTTTTTCTGCAAGGTCTCTAGCATATTGTCCTACTCACATAATCCAACCCATGTGTGAGACAGGCTGATGATGGCCTTAAGTATACTACTATGAAGCTAGCATTATCCTTATTGAGGCAACATAATCCAAAGTAAGTTATATGGATTTTGATGCCTTTCCATCAGCAGCAAATTCAAGTGACCCATAGTAAATAGCTTGGCATCTATTAACCATTGAGCTAATGTAATCATGTTTCTTTTCCTATGGTTTCTAGGCAGTCTCCTATACTACAATTCTGTTTTTTCACCCAAAATACTGGGCATATCATTGTTGATCCAACAACACTTTGTCATGTTAACTCTTCAAAATGAGAAATATCAAAATAGCTAATAAACAGGATGTGCTAATGGAAGGGTATCCTCCTATTTCTCTTGCATTTTAGAGTTAGTTTGTGACATGTGTATAAACATAAATGATAAAACATACATGTGCGCTTTCAAACATCATTAATCTTTCCTATAATTACACTACATTACATCTTGCCTTATAGTATATAGTATATTTTACATAGTATATGGTAAGTGCTATATGCTATGATTTATGACCAATCACTTTGTTGTTTGTATGTACATTGAGAGTTTATGCATCAGAGAAAAATTCCTTGTGTGTCCAATCACACTTGGCCAATAAAATATTCTATGCTATGCTATGCTATGCACTATACTGTACACCATACACTATAGTAATTGGCAGAATTATGAACACAATGGATACTATACTGTAGTGATTAATGTGTGTCACTAAGCACTATATAGACTTAATACATATATTAATATGTATTAAACATCCAGAATTATCTCTGAGGTAAAAGAGATTCCACTGTAGTTCATACTAAAGTTATCTTAAGCTATAACCTCCTCATTAACAACAACAGGAAAATTAAGTCAGACCATAATTTGCTCTGAATTGTGTAAGGATTTTTGCCAAAACCTGTAATTATATATTGTGGTTTTTTGGCCAGAAATTAAACATGGATCTAGTAATCTAACCTGAGACACCCAACACCATTGCTGCTTCACAATTAGAAGTGATTCAACGTGCTTGCCTAAAGATACCCTTCCCTGTGTATATTAAATCCATTACTGTAGTATTTGTACCACTGCCAACCCATGGACATAGTATGACATAGATGATTTTTACCCCCAATGCAGCTTTTGTTAAATGAATCTTCTTCTGTGGCCTGAAATTCCGAGCCTGGTTTTTTTTGTCTGATTCAGTAACCAGCAAACAGAACATTTACCCCACACTCCATCTTTCTGATCATCTACCATAATCATCCCAATCTCCATGCAAGTCAAAGTATAGCAAGATTGCACAGTGAGAGACTGTTATTTTCACCTTATTATAAAAGCGCAAATGTGGCAGGGAAAATTTTTTTTTGCTAAACTGTGCCTATTGCTTTCTGAAGGACAAATGCTTAACTCATAGAAATGTAATTTTGATCTGTAAATATCACCAGTGGTTGTATTTTTGTGCTCCAAACTAGAATATCTTCTATTCTGGATCCTGTTTTCAGAGTTTTAATACACATGTTATAATCTAGTAGGTAGGGATTAAATTATAGATAGTCCTCGATTTACAACAGTTCTTTTAGTCACTGTTCGAAGTTACAACAGCACTGAAAAAAGATAGTTATGAACATTTTTCACTCTTATGACTGTTGCAGATCCCCATGGTCATGTGATCAAAATTCAGATGCTTGGAAACTGACTCATATTTATGACGGTTGCAGTGTCCTGAATCATATGATCATCTTTTGTGGCTTTTTGATGAGCAAAGCCAATGGGGAAGCCAGATTCACTTAACAACCATATTATTAACTTAACAGCTGCAGTGATTCACGTAGCAATTGTGGCAAGAAAAGAAGTAAAGTAAAATGGAGCAAAATTCACTTAACTATTTTGCTTAGCAACAGAAATTTTGAGCTCATTTGTGATTGTAAGTCAAGGACTACCTGTATTGTTACTGTCCAAGTACCTGTCAGCCCTGTAGTATCAAGAAAGAGATGCTAGAGGGATTCCAGAGTGCAATTTATATTGTTAGATATTGAGAATCTTGAGAATCTATCTGAGTTTCTTTCTGTGACATGTTATATGGAACAAAATCAAGGCAAGGTTATTTTGAATTTCTTTCTCATTTTTCTTTCTATCTCTGGGTTGTGTAATCTTTTCTGCAAGTTACCCCTTAATGGTGCTTTTGTATCTTCTATCTCTAAATTCCTGTACAATACTCCACAGTTAACTTTATTGGAACAGGGACTAGGAGTTGAAGTCTACACACCAAAGTTGCTGAGGTAGAGAAACATTGATCTATGTAGACAGATCTGCACTCCTGGTTTTGAAGCAAAAGGTTCCACTGGTAATTCCATGACTTTGTGGTGGGGTTTGGTTCCTCGTGTTTACATGAGGAAAAGAGGTCAGGGCCACAGTAATAGGTTTAACCGCTTGTTAAGTTGCCCTACAACTAAAAAAGCAAAAAAGACGAAGCATAGGGCAATTAAAACTTGTTTGGCAAGGATTTTAGTTTCCAGCTGACTTATTGGTAATACTTTTATACAACTTCCATGAGAGCCATGGTGAACTGAAGACACCTTCATGAAAGTGCAGTTGACCACAGCAAAGTCTACTCATTTTTCCAGTTAAGGAGAATATGGGAAATAACCCACATGTACTGCAGGTGGCTATTCCTCACAAGGAGACCACAGGATAGCAATTTTTTCCATGGGTTTGAGCACCAGGAGATGAAGGCATTAGCCATTTTGGTCTCAATTGAAACAGAGACTTTTAAAGGGCAGTAGGTTTGCAAGCCTCACCTTCAGAAATTGCCTATTAACCATCTTAAAGTCATTCAGAACAACAAGCTTAAAAAGTCACAGGGTCAATGTAGCTTCGATTTTCAACAAAAGAAAAATTAATTACAAATTTAAGAACTTAAATATTTTGAAATAAACAGCAAAAAGCTAAATAAGATTTTGATCTAAAAAGTTAATTTAAAGGGTCAAGTTAAATTTGAAATATTAACAGCAAGTGTACGATTTTGGAATTGACTATAAAAACAGTTTCTCGTGGGAAATTATTTTGCTATCTTGATTCATCACAAAGATAAAGAACTTTATAGTTTTAGAAACTGAACTTTAGAGGGGACTAAACATTCATAGTTGAAGGGGGAAAAATTACAAGCGAACTTTTGGAGTCAATTAACTAGGACTTACAAAATGACAGAAAAAGTCATAACATTGGAAATATTAAAGCAGATCTTTGAAGAACGGAGCCAGAAACTAATACTTAACAATATCAATAGTGTCAGTAAAGATGTCTGAATCTATGGATTGACAATGTCCAAATATGTCAATGAGGGAATGACAGATGTGGAGTAAATTTTGTCTGACAAGAAAAAGTACCCAAAAAGGAAGTACAAGTTACAGGCCAAAAGAATGATTTGGAAAAAGGTGCTTTACTAATATTTAAAGAAAACTGACTGAAAATGATAAAAATTAAAGGGGAAATGCAAATGACAAACCAAAAGAATGATCTGGAAAATGTTTTCTTATGAATCTACAAAAGAAGCTTGTTAAACCTTTGAGCAACGTGGAGGCAGAGTCTTTCATCAAGTTTGCAGCTGTAATGCAACCTAAATTGAATCTAAGCTCTGTACTATCAAGTATCAAGGGAGAAGGGAACCTTTTTCAATAGATGTGTAAAAGCAAAAATTAAACAATAATTTGTCAAAAATGTTTTAATATACACTGAGTAAGGGGTTGGACAGAATTGCTAAAATGTTATGTTGCTCCTCTATAATTCAATGAGATGTAGCTTTTAATTCTGATACTATGAAAATCTGAGAACTGTGGATATGATCCAGTCCACTGTTTGTTTGGAAAAGGTTGTGTCCATGTATGGTCAAATATTTGTCTTTATATCTTCACCACACTGAAATGGTGAATGGATTTAGACCTTGATCAGAATGATTCTATAATTTTTTTTCTAACTTTATCATTGTTGTCCCTTAGGACTTTTGTAAGATTAGAGCTTCAGGATGGGAGTCCAAAAACAGTGACTCTAATTTCCATCTCATTTTTGATTCTGAAAAGGCACTGAGATTAATCTGGAGTATTTTGGATGAAGAAAAACTGAAGTCTAGAATGTCATAGAGATTGGAACTTGGTCCGGAAAGATGGTATTGTTAAAGGAACTCATCTGACAAATGTTTTCTTCTTCTTAAATGGGAACTGTGAATTGTATAGATGGGCTGTATATTGGAGCTCTGGCATGATCATCTTTTTACAGATGTTCAGGGTCTTATTGTCTAAATCTTGTTTGAGATTGTAACCCATGATACCAGCATTTCCTCCTTGAAAAGGCTTCATTTTCTTATCTTTAACTTGATAGTGCTCAATTGCAGTTTCTTCCAAGAGGCATGTCTCCATCAGTTCCTTCTGTCTCTTCTGCAGAAGATCAACTTCCTTGTACAGTGTTTTGAGGTCCATTCTTTCCCGAATCTTCATCCAAAATGATTTATTGAAATGTTTATAAAGTTCCCAATCTAAAGCACACCACTCCTTCACTTTCTCTTTATTCTCTGGATTCAGAGTCTGAATGCTCTGTTGGCTCCTGGCATTCAACTTGAAATAAATCACATCATCCAGATCCCAACACAAAAAATCCTTCAGAAGGATCATTGACTCATCAAAAAAATCAGCAATCAGTATCAAATGAAAAATTTCTTCTATTTTCTTCAGGACAAACTGGATATAACTCTTATCGTATTCTGCATTGTTGTTATACCCAAAATCAAACCACATGTTGTTCTTAGCATACATATTATTTTGTTCTGTCATATTGTAGTATGACCAAGGAGAGGATAGAAATTCATTAACATTCTTGGACTTTCTAAATGCTGGCGAATAGGTTTTGTAGTAGACATAAGATGATTCAAGCAATAATGCTGGGTGCCTCAGGACAGAAAAATAAAAGGTATTATTTGGCATTATTCTTCTGACCTTTTAAATGAAAGAGGGAGAGAGAGAGAGAGATTAAAATAAGAATTAATATTTTTGAATGATCAGTAGAAATTTTGTATTCTGAAATAAATACAATTGACCATCATTTGCAAATCTTAACAAGATTTCAGGAAAGTTGGTACAATATGAAATGGTACTTGCTTTTGCATGTCTGTAGAGAAATATTATACATTAATTTAGCCATATTTACTGAGACATTACAAGAAACCATAAGGAAACAAAGACTAATGGCATAAATAAGTTTTAACCCCCCTTTGGGCTTCCATGCTTTTCCTTTTAAAGGAGTGCTTTAAAAAAAAAATTACTTCCATTTTTAAGTAATTATAGATTATATTGTCCCAATCAGAATATCTATGCTTTATTTAACTAATTTAATATAAATTAGATTAACCATAGCTTAAGGCTTGAATGCTACTTTAAACAATAGGTAATTGGGGAGAAAATCAAAGTTTTTGATATCTTTCTTTATAGTTCGGGTGAAAAAAGATTTAATCTATCACATTTGCATTCAGTAAATATGAGGAACCAGCAAAATGCTTACTTATGTTCATCATTAAGAGCAGATAATTGGAGAAGATATTAAAATACTGATGATGTTACCTAGTTTGAGTAATGAAACATCTGCAAGAAAACAACCAGACTCAGAGAGCATCAAGGACCTGTTGGAAATTAAATTAAATCCAGTCCAGTTCTTACTCCAAGCCAGGAGAAAGATGCAGGAGAAATGAATTGGAGGCAGGTTGCAGTTTTGGAAAGGAGGTCTCTGTTTATTTGGAAGTCAGAAACAACAGTGACAGCAGCATATTTCTGGGGTGGCTGACAAATTGGGGTTGAGAGTAGATGGGCATCTGTACAATTTGGGGGGGGGCTTTGTGATTGCCAATTCCTGTGCAAGAATGTATCCTTTAATATTTTAATGGCTGTTGCAGGTTCCTATGGGGTCATGTAGGGGTCATGACTGGCTCTACAGGCAAAAGAATACAAATCCTAGGTGTTTTGTTTGCCTAAGCTAATTTTATCAGTTTCAGCTCCTTGCCTATTGTGCTGCTTATTGGGAGCTGCTGGCTGCCCTTTGTTTATGAACAAAATGGCCGGCTTTATGAATGGATACAAAATATCCATTCATAAAGCCTAGTAGCCTCTTCAGACTTCTGCTTGAGGCTGTTTTCCTATAGCAGAAAGTCTGGGAGTGCTTTCTGTTTTTGTTAAGGATATTTTTTTTCCCCTCTTCTCCTTTAGGGCAAATATTCTACTCTGCCTGTTTTAATATTCTGTAGAATATTTTATTCTGGGAAGGGGGCCCTTTCCACAGACCCCTCATTAAAATATCACACCAACCACACAATTGGAAACAAATTAAGAAGATCAGTTTCATTCTTAGCAGACCTGAAGCAAGCAGGGAAGAGGGGAATGTAAAAAGGGTCTCCATTATTAGAACCATAGGTGTTGGCTATTGTAGACTGCAGAATTGTGATGTATTTGATCTATTTGCAGAACAATATGTTTAGAAATAAATAGTGCTTAACAATAAACACAGTATAGTTTGTG